ATATAAGAGAATACCAAATAACAAGCTGGACCCTAGCTTATAGATGGCCTGTGAACACAGGAATAATGTCTGTTGGTAGATAACGCTGTTGTTTGGGGTCTGTGAGAAATGGATGGCACTCAAAATCCTGAGAGTTGTGGTTTGGCAAAATGGAAGAAATGCTAGAAGGTTAGATGTGGCAGTCGATACTACCAGGCAGCATACTGCACTCAGGACAGACACACTACGGAAAAAGCAGGACAGACACTGCTGGGTGGAAAGCCCAGCACAGGATGGGAAAATACCATGTATGACATCAGAAATGAGAACGGCTGTTAGTAAGAGGTGAGGACAATCTCCTGGAGGGTTGGGAAGGACACAGAGTAAGGAGAAGGGTTTCTCTAGCATGTGACACATAAGGAGAGCCGCCAGAAGTGAGAATGGCACGTTTGGGAAACTGTAAGGAGTCCTGTCTGCGGACAGCAGAGGCAGAGGGGGACACTACAAGGAGCACAGAAACACCCCCCCCACCCCAGCTAATCAGCAAGGTGCAATGTACTTAGTTCTACAGGGAGATGCCTTACAAACGAGCAGCATGACTTGGGTGGAAGTAGCAAAACAAAAACAAAAACAAAACACAAGTAAACAAAAACACCTTCAAAACAAACAAACGAACAAACAATAGTACCAAAATGCATGGCAATCCAATCCTCCAGCTTTTTTTCAGAGTTAACTAAAAGTCCTTACCTACTCAATAGGTGACTTCTCTTGGCCAGTTATTTTTTTTTTTTTGGTAGCTTCCTATAGTTACTATTCACTGAAATTCTGAAACTATATCATGTATACTTACAGGAATGAATGGTTTGTTTCATCTAAATTTTAAGTCCATTAAGAAGGACTTTGAACTACCTCCAAAGACATAGATTTTGAAAAATGGTGAACAAAAATGAAAGAGAGAACCAAAACTTTAGATAAGTGGGAAATAATTTACTATAAAATTTTTTTTTACATTTTCTCTTTCTTGGAAGAAGGGAATTAGTTGATGAACCTTTTGTACTGTTTAAATGTATTAATTGAAAATTAATAGAAATTATTTTAAAATAACTATATAAAGTTGATAATAGACAAGGAAATTAGTAGAAATTGCATAATAAAAAATAATAAACTCACAAAATCTACAATTTAATTAACTTTCAATTAAAGTTTAAAGAATATTAGTTTGAAAGACCACCAGATTATTTAGCTACCCAAAGGAGAAGTTACTCAAGGTCTGAGTTACAAGCCCTCATGGAGACTTTGGGAAGGTGAGGCCAGGAGTTTGAGACCAGCCTGAGCAACATAATGAGATCCTATCTCTACACCACCCAAAACATCGGAAAATTAGCTAGGCCTGTTTGGCACATTCCTGTAGTTCCAGCCAATTGGGAGGCCAAGGCAGGAGGATTACTGGAGCCCAGGAGTTTGAGGTTGCAGAGAATCATGATGATGCCACAGAACTTTAGCTCCAGAGCTATTAAAAAAAAAAAGTGATCCTTGATTAATAGTCTCAGGCACTCAGATTTTACCCTATGTTCGGGGTAAGACCCCTGAAGGTACTGAGCACAGGAAGTGACACTTAGGAGGGCAAGAGTTGCCTTGATATATATATATAGGAGAAGCTGGGAAGGCAGCAGAGAGAGAACAGGCTGAGGTTATGAGACATGAGACAGTGACAGTCCAGCCTGCAGGAGATTTAAGAGAACTAGAAACAATCTGATACACTTTGAGGAAAAATTAACGTACCTTGTGACTGACCAGCCAAAAGAGATGTTTAAGGTGGCTCAGGGGATACCCATGGGAGACCATGTGAACAGTGGCACAAAACCAGAAGTTGGAAGCAGAGAGCAGCAGCTCATTAGGGAAGGACTGAGTTTAGGTGGAGGATTTAGAGACATGGCAGGACATGCATTAAAGCAGGATGTATCAGTATCAGCTGTGGAAAGGCTCTATGAGCAGGGTCTTCTCAACCCTTAATAGTAAACAACCTGCACAAAATATAATGGCAACAGTAGCTTCCTTCATGGTGAAGAACTATCCAGTGAACATGTATTGTTTTCTACCCCCTAAGGTCCTTGGCATATGGATCTGCAGACCCAACTAAGGCCTGGCTTCAGCAACAAAGATTATATTTAAGTCAAATCTGAGTTACTATGGCAGGAGAAACACTTGTAAGTTATCTTGGGATGTGCTCCAGAGAACAAAAGACAGGCTTAAGCTTTTAGAGAAAAAGCAGGCGTCACGGGTGGGGGTGGGGAGATTACAAACATTGTTGATCAACTATTTAATTGGCATGAAACATCTAAAGCAGTCTAGGAGTCAGAGGAGTGGTTGTAACACTTAAAAGGGTGGCCTGTGGCTGGGAACCTCCAAGTTCAGTCGGAAGTAGTTAGCAGATGTTCTGGCGGTTGTTTAGCCAGGGAGTTGTGACCTCTAGGGTCAAGTATTTTCTGCAAGGTCTGCTAGAGACTCCAGCTGGGACAGCCTCCCAGCTCCATCTTAGATGCCTTCACTAACCCACTGCCACTTTCCTTCATCAGATCCCAACACCAATGTCTGTTACACCTCGAATATAAAAAGCAACAATAAATATGGAATTTTAAATGTAAGCCCAAGTACAATATTTTTCCTCTTTACACTCACATATGTCTTTGGAACTGAAATAAAATATTCCACATAAAACCAATTATTTTTCTTTGCTGAGCAACACATTTATTATTCATTTACTGAAAAGCATGGTTCGCACAAAGATGTGTAGAGGGATAAAGCATAACACTTTTCATATTGTCACTCATTTTTGAAAAAGAGGCATTTCTCAATGTAGAAATGTATAATATGTAGAACTGTATAAATACGGACGTGAAAAACACCACATTTTCCAGAAACTGGCAAGCACATTTGGCCTTAATAAAAATGAACTTCAACTAGTAGTTTTGGAAACACTGCATTCTATGAGATGTATACAAGTTTCTTCTGGAAAAACCTCCATGTGGGTTCCAAAGGATATTATCTGTAGTAGGAATTCAAAGGAAATGAATATTTAAACCTAATTGTGTGTCAAGGAGATAAACAATAACCATAACCATTGGGTCTGAGAAGAACTGAGCTCTTAAAATAGATAGGCTTTCTTATTGAAAACCTTTAAGATCAAAAGTTAACTCTAGGTGGCTAAAAGCTAACTCAAGGTACACGTGGAAGAGTAGTCCTATTCACTGGATCAACAATGGATAAATCAGAAGTGATGAAGTTTTCATCACTAAGTTCCTTAGGTTGCCATTACTATCACTATCTTAAAATTTTTGAGTTCAGCTTTCAATGCATATAAATAAGATTAGTTTCTTTCATCTTTGTGATAGCCCTTCAAAAGAAAAGAGAATTTGAAAGGGTAAAAAAGTAAGAAAAATAGTAACAAAAGGAGCAGTGTGTGGAGGAGAGAGAGATAAATGAATAAACTAATTTAGCTCCACTAGCATTCATTAATAATCCAATGGCATTCTGCCAGAAGCTTACAGAGACAGAGGGGGACATGGGGGACTTCCTCTATGAACTTAAAATCTGTTCAGGAAGACAGTACATTCTATGTATGAAAATAACAAAAGAATAGCATTTCCAAGGTAAAACAACAACATGCATAATAGCATAGGCCAAAGAGCTGAAACAATCTGATGTCATCAAAACAGGCCAACACATCTATGTGATCACACTCAAAGGGAGGTGTAGTATTTGTCATAGAAACCCCCAGACAGGAGAATAGCATAGGAAAACGTAAGCGGAAATTCGCAGGCTGATAAAGGGCCAGGCGTAATTCAGAGAAGGTAGGAAGAACTATAGGCAAGTCATGCCAGTGGATGGAGTGCTGTGAATAGAAGGTAGAAGCACAGGCATCTGATTCAAGAGCTAGGAAGGAGCCACTGCAGGTTTTTAAACAGGAAAGTAGCTTCAGAAATATGCAGATGTTGTACATCCATTATGTTAAAACGGTCTGCTAGGTTGAATGAAAATTTGATCAAACTCATATTTGCATGCACAAAGTTTGATCTGGCCTTTCACTCTGGAGGCATTATGATTGACACGCAGTGTGATTCATATGTTTATATGATGAAAAGCTTGATTTAAAAAGTCTATCATCTAGTCATCTAACAGTCTTGCCTTTTAATGAACTGACTCTCTATATTAGGCATTTATAGTTGACTATGCTGATATTATTGTAAAGACGGTTCCTCCACATATATTCCCAAACGATCAGCTAAATAAATTCACAGAGGACTGAACTTAGGACTGAACTGTGTACCTCCACAATTCAGATGTTGAACCTGCAACCTCTAGTGTATTTGATCTTGAACCTCCTAGCCTCCAGAACTATGAAAATTACAGAGGGTACCCCCCCTCGATGTATACACATTGTAAGAGATATTATCTATGGATTACTTTTCAAAGTTGAATTGAAGGTCTGGTTACCGGTCAAGTGTACCAATACATGTAATGCATATCCATTTTACCTGTAATTCATACACTTTGGGGGAATAATCAATTTTCCTTCCAAGATCTCTTATATATATTGCTTCAGCTACCCAGTCTATGGTATTTTGTTATGGTAGGCAGAGCAAACTGACACCTATGACAGCGTTATAAACAGTCTTGGATGCATCACTGATCCTCTCTCTCCATGGTTTTCTCAAAATTTTTCTTGGCTTTCCCTTCCATGAGTAGCAGGCAAAGGGGACACAAACTAATGTTTATTGAATGTTTAGTCAGCATCTGTTAGATGCTGTCCATATATAACTTAATCCTGGTAGGATAATGTGACACCATCATCTCTAGGAATAGTGTTTCAAGACAACTTTATTGGAAAAAATTGATAGAAACTGTACACATTTTATAAGCTGCAGTTAGGAGTCTTGTAAATTGTATACATAGTAACTGATCTTGTATCTGATAACCACAGTGGATGATGAAAATAAAACACTCCTTGATAACTTTTTATTAAGGATAATCAATAATTTATTTCTCTTTTATTGTCACAATTACCACCATTATCTAGCTACATGACCAGTGTCACTCTGGACCACAGGAAGATTGCGCACGGACACTTTTACTGCGACAAAGACAACAGCCATTTATGTGTTAAATGTACAACAGGATGTTAAAGAGAGGTGTGGGTTTTACGTGTGAAACAAGATGTGATTTATTATTAACGAGTCTGATTGAAAACATTCTAAGCAAGCATAGAAACGTTTTGGCATCGAGTTGTTATTAAAGTACAAAGTAAGTAAACTAGAGAAATAAATCCGGATTTTAACTTACAATACGCACAGGAAAGTAGGAAATTAATTGGCTCCTCGGTATTTTTATGCAAGTGTTTTTTTTTTTTTTGTTTTCTTTCCGTGTGTTTTTTTTTTTTAATAAACAAGTAATATGAATATATCACAAGTTAAAGAAAGATCTTAGCTCCAAAAGGAAGGTACCAATATATGAAAGAAATGAAAAAATTGCCAGGTATCTTCGCTTACAAAAAATTTAAACTAGAAAGAGTCACAAAATATATATAAAAACGCCACATTGAACGAGGCAACCATACTCTACCCAAACCGGTAGCACCCTCCTAAAATCGGTCCACCCGGTTCACTCGGTCATACGGTGGTGACGGACAGGAAGGCGTTGTGGACCCTGGTGCCGTCCGGAGACTTGGCCCCGTGGGTCATCAGCTCCTGGATGGTCATCCAGTTGTCCAGGATTTTCTTGTTCCTCTTTTTCATCATCTTTTTGTGGCTCAGCTCGAGGATGCTGAGCTCCTTCTTGCCCTCGCCGCCGCTCTGCGGGCTCTCCTTGAGGCACTCGAGCCGGCTGCGCAGCATGAACTCGCGGCGCCGCCGCTGCTCGCGCGCGCGCGCCAGGTGCTGCCTGCGCTCCTCCTTGCTCCAGTAGCGCCCCATCTTCATCTCGCTCATGGTGTCGTCGTCGGTGGTCATGCCGCTGCGCTCCTCCTTGATCTTTAAGGCACGCTCCTTGAGGATCCGGTCCCGCACGGGTCTCTTGGTGATGTACCGCGTGCCGTCGCTGCGGACCTTCACCTTCCACTCCATCTTGGGCTCCGCGCCCTTCTGGGCCTCCTTGCACACGCTGACCAAGCTGAGCTGGCTCTGGGCGTACTCCACGGCGGACTTCTGCTGGATCAGCTGCATGTAGCTTTGGTAGTGCCGGGCGTGCGCTGGGATGTTCGCGCAGCGGTAGGAGGAGCCGTGGTACGGGGACAGGTAAGGGACGGCTTCGCCTGCCGTCTGCTCTTGGTCAGGGAGCTGCTTGCTTTCCAGAGCCTTCTCCTTGCTTTCCGTGCTGCAGCCTGGCTCCGTGGTTGTGGTTTTGGCGGAAGCCGACTCTTTACCACTGTGTCCAGAAGAGGACCGCTGGGCCGCCACTGTGCTTCTCAGGTTTTTCTTGTTGGTGAGGTTGATCATTCTTGGAAGGGAGCTGTCCGGGGACCGGTCTACGGTCAGGGGGGTACTTCTGCAGCTCTCGGCGGTGTTGTAAGCGCTGGAACTGTCCCTGTCGGACTTTTCTGGATGTTCCATGATGTCATCCAGTTTTCCCCTTTGCGAATCGATGCTGGTGTTGTAATTTCGGAATCCTCCCTCGTGCAATGCCCAGATGTCTCCATACTGTTGGGTCACTTTCTGGAGCCTGTGAGCCTGCATGATGTTCTGGCACTCAAGCTCAATGTTTCTTAGCTCTTCGTTAAGCAGCTGCAGCTCATGCTCCACGCCCTCCTGCTCCCCTGGATTGCACTCCACGGTGCTGCTGGAGTAATACAGGTCATACTCGCCGTGGTTGCGAATCTTGCATTTGAGCTCCAAGAGCTGCCTGAATCTTTCACACTCCTCATCGTGGTTGCCAGTGCAGTCCGAGTCGATGCATTCTCCAGACACGAAGCTCTCATTGTACTGAAGCTCCACGCTCCCCAGAGTGTCCCGGCTCTGCCCTAGCTCCCTTGCGCTCTTCAGAGAAGCGCTCTTGGGGTCCTCGGCGGCCGCGTTCTCCTGCTCCGAGCTCTCGTCGTTCCTCAGGCTCTCGTCGGTGCGCCCCACTCCACTGTCCTTCTCGTGGTTGTTAGATGAGGATGTCGCTGTATCTGTGGTGCCTTCCTCTTCTTCTTGCTTTTTTGGCTAAAAAATAAAAAATAATAATATTGAGAGAACAAAGAAAATTAATGGCTTTGAAAAACACGGATTGTTGACAAACTTGTTTGAGGAACAGCGCTTCTTGGCGGTTCCTAGAAAGCTGCTATAATTTTAGTATCTATTATGATTTTAGAAATAACGATGATTAGCTCATAGCAGCTTTGCATGCCACGAAATAAAGAAAAGCAAAGCTGTGATACACATGACAGGACACGTTTGACTAAATGATTCCTTTTGTTTGGTTTTCTCTTACTCAGGAAACTGGGGTGAATGTATATACATGAAATGACTTTAGGCATTTCTGAGACAATGCTCAAAAAGACTGTCTCAAGGGTCTTCAGCAATATGGAAGCCTGAAGTCCAGAAGCCACAATCACTTTTTTCCCCTCTAATTTTCCTCAAGTTCAGAGAAAACTTCATTGACCATGAAGCCCTGGTCATGGTAAGACAGACTTCACAATGTTGCAAGCCTAAGTTAACATTATGTACCGGAGCCTAGAACCTTCCCATCTATAAACAAGGCAGCTGAACTCTAGATGGAATTAGGTTTTCGGTGACGGAGAGGTCTGGAAGCAAAGCTCCAGGGCTGGATGCCTTAGGTGTCCAGGAGGCCACATCTCCGGACACACATGCTCCGTCCTCATAGCTTCTCCAACTCATGATCCTCAAAAGCAACCACAGTGCCTCAGGAGTCATTTGGGCTGCATACAAAGATTTTTCTACTCTTAACCAGGAATTTCTTTCAAAAATGAGTTTATTGAGAGTAAAAATGATAGTTTTCTGAAAATCTGGACAGCCCTGTTTGCTAGACACAGGCATAATATGAAAAATATGTATTTAGGGTGGCACCTGTGGCTCAAGGGAGTAAGGCGCTGGCCCTGGTAGGTTCAAAAACTGCAAAATATGTCTCATACCCTGGTAATATATCTCTATATATGTTTTATGCCCTGGTAATTTCTAGCTTTCGTGCAAAACAATTAACTGTCACTGAGCTGATGATAATAATGTATTGCTTTCTTTGTGAATAGGCAAAAAGTATTTCCTCCTTTATCATGCATCATACATGGCCATTTCTAGATAGACTGTATTAGTCTTGTGCCTAACTTTATTCACTCTTATAAAGTAGAGCCTCCATTGTTGGCCACCTCCCTACACTGACCACCTTTGAAGTTGACTTACTCTTCACAGACTGGACATGCACCACACGCACTTATCAGTACAGCAAGCCCAGTTCCTTATGTTGACCACCTCTGTATGTTGATCACTTTGTTACAGTCCCTCGGGGGGTCCACGCACAGAAGTTCTACTGTTCTACTCTATGTACCTATGTATCTTTCCCCTTGGCAGGTGTAATGACATGATTGAGTATAACTAAGCCCATTAGCGCTAAAGAAGATGCGACAGGTGGTAAAGTGATACAACATATTTTAAAATAAGCCTAGAGGGGTCTTCCCATATGACTATTTTTTTCCACAAAAGTAATGGCAGAACAAAGTGTAACACAAATCAGAGAGGACAGAACATGAGCGAGTATCATGCTGTTCTGGGATTCTAAATCTTTCCGTAGGATATTTTCCTTTATTTGCAGAAAACGTACTGAGTTTGACTTTAAGTGTGTTACTGACAAAAAATTATAACAAGCAACTAACAATGGAAAGCTTGTTACATTCCTCTGGGTTGGCCTCTAAGCTGACAGTAGTATCCAAGGTGGGCATGTCTGAGTACTGTGCCAGAAAATCCTCAGAGGCTGGTGGTGTTGGGGCATTTGAGTTCATTCAGCACATTATTTATGGCTGTATTTTTCTAATATCTTGTAATGGGCTGTAGAAAGGCAGATCAGTATGCTTTTTCTTATTTTACATGTAGTTCACATGGTGCACCCAAGTTATTCTGTGGGAGAAGTTGTACAGCCTGTCACTAGCAGTCAGAAGATTGAGCGTAGCATCTAAAGTGAAACTTTCAATACAGTGTATTTACATACGGATATTTATTTATTTATTTATTGAGATAGAGTTGCACTATGTTGCCCTTGATAGAGTGCCCTTGATAGAGTGCATGGAGTCACAGCTCACAGCAACCTCAAACTCTTGGGCTTAAGCAATTCTCTTGACTCAGTCTCCCAAACAGCTGGGACTATAGGCACCAGTCACAATGCCCGGCTATTTTTCTGTTGCAGTTGTCGTTGTTGTTTGGTTGGCCCAGGCCGGGTTCGAACCTGCCAGCCTCAGTGTATGTGGGTGGCGCCATAACTACTGTGTATTTTTTTTTTTAATTGAATTTTCCTTTCTTTTGTTTCTGGTCAATGAGAAATTATAAAAATAAAAAGAGTTTTCCATTTTCAAATCCCTAGTTTGTAATATAATGTTACTCCACTCCTTATCATTTCCCTGTGGACTTATCTTGGCGACAGGCAATGTTTCTACCTAGACATTTCTAATGTAGTATTATTGTTTACAAGGGCAAAGGACTTTTAAAGGTTTCTGTACTTCTCATCATTTTTCAGTCTCCTGGTTTTAAAAAAAAAAACAACAAAAACTCCACACAATGAGAATCTAACCCCGGGGACATCTATGGTTACCTCAGAAGACCTACCATTTGTACTACGTCTGATGAGTAGGTAGCGTTTGACACCAAATCACTTCTCCTGAGCAGGATTTCCCCCTTTTTCTTTATTCCCACATCCTCCTGTCAATTCTGTATCAGGCCACATTTTCTGTCTAAGAAAGAAAAAGCCTGGAGCAAGGACTTTTTTGCTTGTAACCAGCAGCTGCCACCAAAAATATCTTTATTTGTGACTGGTGTTGAAGTCATACATAAAAATATCAATCTGTCCTACCTATATTGAAAAGTGATCACCATGGCGGTAGCATCACTTCTGAGCACAAACTACTGTTTGTGAAATGGCCGGTGAGCACTCGTGAGCAGCACCTGAGTATATCACACATGGCTACGTGGACTCTGTACTTTCCAATCTAATGATTTATTAACCATGCAGACATGTGCGTGTATGCGTGCGTGCACATGCACACACATTTCTGTTACAGGATGTTAGCATGTCGAGATATTTTATTATTTAGCTTGGTTAAGTGATAGAATGTTTGTGCTTCATGTTTCCCAGCCTGTCAACAATTTTTTTTTTAATTATCTTCTAAGATGGGTAAGAATTAATGTCGAGAACAGGATGATAATTAAACAAATCAGTAAGCTGACAGTGAAATGTTAACAAAATCATATCAAGCAGATGAATGACATGAATGTGGCATAAAAAATCTACTACACATTGATCTCATCTTTATCCAATGGGAAAACGACAACAACAAAAACGGAAAAAGAAGCTTGAGACTGACTTTGCCATAAGCCACACTGTGGTCTTTTACTGGGTTTGAATCAAGTAAGAGCAGTGATTTTGCTCATTTTTATTTCTATTCTCAGCATCGGGTGTTGTGAAGCTTGGAACCTATTAGGAGCTTAAAGTTTCTTGTTGAATGACTATGTGACCATAAGCAAAATAATAGCAATCATCTCACATAGGGGAAAGATTGTCCAGTCTCAGCAGCAGCCATAGGACCAAGGATAATTAATGTCCACAGTTATTCAGTGGTATATGGGTGTAGTGACGCTACTGAGTAGACAAAGAGGACTGAAGGCTTACCACACGTCATCAGCCTCTTATGGCCTAAATGTTCGAACAGGCACGTTAATATTGTAAACTAAAAATTTACTCTTTGGGGGGTGGGTGGGAGTTACTTCTTGATATAGAGTTTGTTTTCAGCTGGCATCTTGAGAAGTCACAGCCATTTTTACTGTTAAATTTCTGCAGTTAGGTTGACCTAGTACCTGGATCAACACGTGAATACCACTGTACTATATTAACAGTGGTCCCCAAGGTTCTCGAACTGGAGATATTCTTAATAGAAAGAAAATTTATTTATCCTCCCTGCTTCATCTGAGATGATCATGTGGCCCCCAAAATTACCACTACGGAGATGTGTGATCAAACCCTATGATTTTTTTTTGTTGTTGTTGTTGTTTGTTCTGCATTTATGGCTATATGTTAAAAAAAGACCTAGCCAGGTCTTGACTGATTTAGTTCAAATTGTTGACTCCACCTGCTCCACCTCGCTGGCTGGGTGCTGCGCGGCTTCATTATGCTGTTCCTTCAGCATCTCCAAGTTTAACTCCTCTAAGAACTCGTTCCTTTCATCTTCTAGCCAGCCTTCATCCAGCTGCAAAAGAATACATTAGTACATTATCTTATATTAGTGAGAACTCATGCTAAAATAGGCTAAACTTAAATGGCCAATGCCCGGCCCGTTCCTTTTATCATAATGATTCTCTTCAAAATACCGGCCTCCTAGAGTTCACCTCTCAGAAAGAAGAAAAGGTGATAAAAAAAAAAAAAAATTGGACTCTTATGCCTTTTATCCTTTCGTGAAACAGAGCTACAGATTTTCTCTCATCACCGAGTAAATCTCACGACATAGAACATTACCTTCTTTCAAAATGTATGAAAAGCACACTGCATAATCCACAGCTGTCACGCTCATTACCTCCCACAGGCCCTGCGTTAAAAGGACAGCCACGGGACTAATAGGGCTGGGAGACAATTGGGCTTTTTTTCCTTAACAACAACCCCCGGCGAGGCTGCACACCAAGTGCCCCCCACTCACTCATGCGACCCTCATTCTGCTTTTTGAAAATCTTTAGGCGCTGGCTTCCACCTTAACACTATGGCTGCGTGCCACAAAATGAATCTACAGATATTTATTTTATCTGTAAAGAAAGGAAAATTCTACGTCATTCTTCTCAAAAAAAAAAAAAGTAACATTATGCTATGTCTATTTTGATTCATTTTCAGGCCCAATTTCATAGTGACTGTGACATTTAAGGGTGGTAGAGGGGTGGGGCACGTGTGGGGTTTTGTTTGTGGCTGTCGGACGCAAGTATTCTTGTGGGATTCTCACACAAATTAAACTTAACAAATCCCTTTGGCTTCTCAACACAAAGTGAAGTGGAAAACTGGTGGTTACCTGGCTAATATGATCAGGGTTGACAGTCAGTACAGATAATTTGCCTCAAAGTGGATTTTTGGAGCTGGATTACGTAAATTAGCTGTCTATGCTGATTAAATTAACTGGATTATTGTCAGAGCTCCGCTTTACTCTGCAAGAACGAAATAGCAGCTTTCTAGGGAGTAAAAATAGACAAGGATTTGAGGTGTTTTTGCCACCAGCAAATGGGCAAAATAAGATTTTAAGATAACTAAACTTCTAAAGTTTGAAAACAAGCACAAACCTGAAATGACATTAAACTGTACCAAGAGAGTCTTGTATTTAAAATGATATATATACACACACACACACATATATATATGTATATATATAAACTAATGTAATGGCAAATCATAGATGTTATGATATCTACTAAAGGCTATGTAGAACTTAAATGACCTCCAATTTAACTGGGGCCAAAACTATGACATATTTATCCATCCTCATTTATCTTAATGCTGCTTGAATAACTTGACCAAATTCCACCACTGACTTTGATATGCAGATGAGATCTGGTAATTATGCTGGTCCCCCAAAATGTAGATTTAGCCAAATTTATAATTGTCTACACTTTACATTCCCTAATCCCTTTCAAATGTCATAAAGCCGCAAATGCCAGACTCCAAGTTACTTAAAGGTAGATATCCTTCCATTCTATAAGCAAACCAAGGAATTTTTCTTTCATCAGGCCACAAGGAAATATTTCCTAACACTGATATAGGGAAGGACGAAACAGAGTCTTTTAAGGTGTAAATGAAGTGCTGGAGAAGTTAAGCAGAACAAGTGGTAGAAATTAATGATTCCCTATAACTCTTTTCTTATTAACTAACCCTGTAGGTTCCTGAGCTGTCGTCTGTAGTCAGGAATGTCTACATTCTGATAAGGCCTTCCTCCAGGCTGGAGAGCATGAGATGTAAAGAGAGCATAAGAGGTAAAGCCTAAGATGTAAAGAGGGATTCTTGTACACAGCATAAGATGTAAAGAGGGATCCTTCGTGGTCACTTCTTTTCCTCCTTGGATTTCCTTTTTCACCTAGACAGCACTGTTGGTAGTCTGAGTCTAACTAACACTGTGGCAGACACAGACATCCCCGCTGAGCTGAGCTTCAGGAAAAGGATTGTCATTATAAGACGGTGGGATCTGTCTGCAGGGAAGGGGGCCATGTATGGCCTCTCAGAGCAAGGGACAACATACACCAGGTATATCTCAAAAGTAGTGACTCCAAGTTCTTACGAGAGCCCTCTCTGCCCCAGTGTCCTGAGGGAAATAGAACAGAAAAGCAATATCTTTAATGGTCTCTGGAAGAAAATGGGCAGAAAATGAAAGAGAGTTGACAGGGAAGGAAGGAAATGAGTTATTTAAAAATATTGCACAGATGCACAATACTGCCCCCAGCAACACTGTAGATCATTTCCAAGAATCTGGAGAGTATTCAAAACATTTTTTTTTTAAAGCTAGAAAAAGCAGACAAAAACCTTCCACATTCTCTTTGAAGAAAATACACATGCAAAAAAGAAATGCAATAATGAGATAAATTAAATTGGGTGAAAAAATATGGGTGATATAAAGATAAGATTTTCTTTTTAGCATTTTTTTAGCCCATTGTACAGCATGTGTGTAGTAGTGCTTAAATGACATTTTTAAAGGATGGTGGGCTTTTTTCCCCCCCTGATTTCTCTGGAAATCTGATATCCTGTAGGTAATTAGCCTCCTTCTAGTGGCATGAAGCCTTCTTCAGGATAAAGGAGCTAACGCAGAGCCTGATTTTGACAGGCAGGACGGCGTCCTATGGAGTCAGAGGATCACCTTTCATCAACTTTGGAAAGGAAGCCTCATTTGGAAATTCATCCTTCAACACTGACTTTTCTTGGGGAAAAGGTCAGGGGTGTAGCTAGATACTCAAAATTGCCACGGTCCTACCAAGCATATGTAGTCCACAAAAGATTAACAGGATCTGGTCTTACGTCATTAATTTCTGTTTTTTTCCACAGTCCGTTATGGCCGTTATGAGGCAGAGTTGAAGGAAATGCTTCAATTCTAAATTAATGAGGTTCTCTAGCAGTTCCATGGGAAGGGCAGGGAAACCACCCTGTCACATCAGCAGGGATGGCTACTGAGATCTCTTCAATTTACCATAAATTTGACTAATATGTATTTAGTTAATTTATTATCTTCTTTTTCAAGAAATAACTGGCTTGAGAAATTTCCAGGTAATTGGTGCAATTTCATAGGTATTGAAAAACCTCACTCGCACCCATAGGCAGCCCAGCCAGTTGTGTGGGAGGGTTTCCCACTCCTGAGACCTCAGGTGTGTGTCTTTACTGTGCCCTGGGCTATGGCAGACTTTATGGGGACCCTTTAGAATGGTCAAGGGCATAAAGAAAATATATGCGGGAAGGGTGATCTTTTATAACCACGATATTCCAGTTAGGACTTGGTCTGATGCTGAAATACACTTACTCAATGTAATTTATAGATAGTATATAGTTACTGAGTCTGAAAAATATCAGATCAATAACCTGGGAGACAAATGGCAATAGAACCAACTTTACTCAAACTAGTGACAGATGGATAGACTGGTGACAATGTGTCGTCCTTTCTGCGTTGCCGTGGGATATAAAAAGGATATACAAGGAAGAACTGATAGTACTTTTCTCCTACCACTACCTTTCCTCGACTTCCATGACAAGTTTCTCTAAGGTATAAACAATTCCTTCAGAGGGCATCAGTTTGTTTTGGGCTGAAGAAATGTTTTTGTCACATGAAACTTGGAAAAAGAATTCAGTAACTATACATGGAACCGTGTCATGCTACATGAGATGTTTTTTATTTTTTTTTTATTCAGTCATTTGTACATAGATCATAAATACATTTATGCCATTATGGGATTCAATGTGTTGATTATAGGATGAAGACATTGGTGTTCTACACCTGATAGATCCAACTTATGCTTGCAATATGTTTTAATTCTAAAAAAATTTAAGTTGATAGCTAGATAGGCCAATGTCTCTGTCTTTAGAGATTCTTCCAAGATACCTTAGTATACCAATGAAATATTTTTAAATAGAAACCTAAGCGAGGATCCACACAGAATTAAAAATTATATAAAGTCAACTATTTTTTGTCTCTGAATTTATTTAAATAACTGGCAAATGGGAGGAGGGAATAATGACTGCTTTTTTTTTTCCTTCCCTTAAAAGGGAAGCTTAGCTTCCGTGCTGTGGAGTAATAAAAGAGAGCCTCTAACGTATAATTTTTTGGATAAGGTTAGTAAGTTGAGAAAGATCAGCTTTTGTTATATTTTTTATACCGTACTTGGTTTAACAGATATCCGTGATGGTGATTCGATACAGAACAGCAGATAAAAAATATAAATTCACATTCATGAATTTGTGCTCCGTGAATTCAGTGACTATCAAGTTTAGGCTCAAGACTTCTGGTTTCTGTTCTGACCTGAATCTCTGGCCTTGCAACAAGCAGCACGATTCTCCTACACTCATCGCTAGACAGCAAGGCCACGGCTTCTTCCCGATTCTGGACATCTTCCCCATTTATCTAGAAAACAAATGAGAGTGGCACATTAGTTTCCATTTCCACAATGCTGCACACAATAAATGGCAAATATCAGCTCATTTATGGCAAATGTATGGACAATGACGCTCACACAATGGGCTCATCTTCAGCCCCTCGGTGGCGAGCGCCTTCACTCAATTACGCGCTTACTGTAAGAGCCATATCGATCCCTGAAGGATGGGGAACATCAGAGGAAGCAGTTATGTTCATAAATGTCCAACCTGCGCCCCGGCAACATACATCTAGCAACACAATTAACCAGCCCCTGACAGGTGACGTTCATCTTTCTCCGCTCAGAGTAATGGAAGTGTCACTCTGAGATAATAGTGTTGGGGAAGGCAGGGCTGGCAATCCCACAACCGAAATCCGTCATCCTGCACGCTTGCTGCGAGCCAATTAGAGAGCTGAGGTATCATCTCTCACCAGGCGAGGCTCCCCGGCCACTGCTGATTGCATTTTCATTTAATCATTTCATATTTGTGTGTGTGGCTGACTCAGTTGCCCAAACATCATTGTCAGGACATCTCTCGGTGCTTAACTAATCAAAAGAAAAAACGGCTCATCAGGAAGGCTGCCGTCAGTACTCCAGTCCCTTTTGGAGATGTATCCGTTTCCTCAAACAATAAAACTAAGGAAACATCTTAAGATTCATCTCTGAGGTACAGTTAAAAATTTAAAAAGGTACCGTAGAGCAAAACTGGCTTTTTAAAAGAATGATGTGTGAAAGAAATCAAGCCTGAGTAAACTATTGATTACACAGAAAAGATTCCCGGGGTACTGCCATCTTCTTTACTAAGTTCTAAAGACAGAGTAAATAAAGCTTCAAAAGTTTGCATTTGAAACTATAGTTTCATGTTCCAATTTAGTTAGGTCTTTGCTAACATATTTTTTTTCCTTTGGATATTTAAAAAATTGCTTTCTCTTAGTGATGATTCAAATCCAGAGAGCCAATAGCATTTTGATCCATAATATATAATCAAAATATATAGAAATTCTGATGAAAGAGGTCAAATAGTTGTGTAAAATGTGCATCAATTACTTCAATAAGTCAATGGGTGGAAAATGTGTTTGCACTGATCATTTTTCAATAATTAATATAACATCTCTCACTAAGTATTTTTGCTTAAAACCAAGAAGTAGACTCCTGAGATTTCCCCTTGTGGGTCTCAGGGATTGTAGCTGACACACGAGGAGAGACACAATTATCTGAAAATAAGCCCAGGAATCTCACTTTGGATCCTAATAAATGATCTTTACTCCTAGACTCTTATATATATATTTAGCATAAGAAAAGCTAAAAAAAAAATCACACACATAGAATGTTTTCTTACTCTGATCAAAAAAATCAAAAAAATCACACAGCCACATAGAATGTTTCGTTACTCTGATCAAAATGAATATCACTTTCATTGCTCACTTATATGTGTAAACGGGAATTGAGCATTTATAAGTTTCATATGCATGCTCCTTTTTTTTTT